GCCATGTTTTGTTTGTAAATGCTTTCAATAAAAAAAAACTTTATTAGTTTAGAAATAATTTCCAGTCCAAACAAATGTCTATGTTGAAATATCTTCTTAGCCTTAGGAATAAAACAGCTACTAATTTAAAAAAAACTTTACCTTATTTTATGCACATTTTAGCTACATTATGCTACTTGAATAAAACCTTTTTACTGCTACCTAGTGCTATTTATGCTTCTTACAGATGTTTTAAGCTATATTCAGCTATTTTAGCTCTTAGCTGTTTTCAGCTAGATCTGTGCTCCTTTTTACTGTTTTTATGCAGTTAAGCTTTTYTGCTTCTTTCAGTTTTTCAAAGTGAGCTCACATGAACACTTTTCCTATTAAATAATTTCARCTCMATTTCAGCAGCTTTCAGCTTAAGTTTTTTCAGCATGAAGCATTCACACTAGCRTTTTCACAGGAAGTGCAATTTCTCTAGTTAAATTAAATCTTTTTTCTTGTGTTTTTGTGTCCAGGAACTTCCTCTGTACTGCTCAGGTGGCTTGAGGTTCTTCTGGGACAATAAGTTTGATCACGCTATGGTGGCCTTCCTGGATTATGTTCAGCAGTTTAAAGAAGAGGTGGAAAAAGGAGACACTGGCTTCTGCCTCCCATACAGGTCAGACACCCACAGACCCATAGATCTGACATGACCGCTGCAAAACATTTATTTTCATCTCCCCACATCTCAGGACGGTTGTGGAGAAAGGGAAGGTTGAGGACACAGGTGGCAGCGGAGGGTCCTACTCGATAAAAACCCAGTTTAACTCGGAGGAGCAGTGGACCAAGGCGCTCAAGTTTATGCTGACCAATCTGAAGTGGGGACTGGCCTGGGTGACCTCACAGTTCTACAACAGATAAAACCTCCCGGACTTGATTTATAGACTTCACACGGTCATGTGCACCTGAGAAAATGTCTTTGCTAAGTTGAAACTAAAGACAATTTATCTATATTGTCAGTATAAATGTTTCCTTTGCTACATAGAGGATTGAAGCCCCTCAGCAAGCAGAATGTGTACTTCGTGCGGTAATCTGCTTCAGATTAAAAGCAATTTTGAAAATGTGGCACAAATGAAATGGCACACTTCTTGAGAAGAAATCTCAGCTCAGATTTACTTTGTTTCAAATCATCAGATTGTGTTGTAACTGCATTGTTGTGACAATTTATTCTTTAACCTTTGCCCCCCATGACATATCCTGCAAACTGTAACACTGCTCATTTATCTGTGATCATATTGAGCAGTATCACATTCTAGACCTGGTTAGACTTTGTTAATAAACTTGTGCTGAGATTCAAATGTTTGTATTTTTATCATAACATTTTCCAAAACAAATGTATTTGTATTTTTAAAAAATCATGTAGTGCAGTACTGGACAGAATGAGACATAAGACCAATAATTAACCAAAATTTTTTTTATTAATCTCATTATTTCAGCTGTGGTTTAACTCACATTATAACATTCACCCATAGTCATCCCTCCATTTAAGGTTAATAATGTTAGAAGGTAAATTTAATGGAAAAATACTGACTTCATTAAAATAAAAATCTCATTTCTAGATACTGGGTAAACCAACAATTGGTCAAAACAGTTATGTTTCAATTTGTGTGTGGTTCTTTATTGTTGCCCTTCCAATAAGACAGGCTTTCAATCTCCTGACTACTTCCAACCAAAAATGGTTACAGTGATTTACATTTAAACTGATGAAGTTTTAAATAAAACTCTGATAGATGATGCATTTCAAGCAGCGTGTGAAATCATTTTATCAACACTTACGCCTGTAAACTATCTTTAGGGTGAACAGGTGTTTTTTGTCATTTTTATGCATGACACTTGTGCAAATGGTTTTTCATTTTCAGCATCTGAAAAAGAAAAAAAAAGTTCCTTCAACGAAGCCAAAGTATGTTAGTGTGTGCATCACGGCAAGTCTTTGGGTTCTGCTCACAGCCCCACAACTGGAGGCTGCTGGCCCTTCATTTTTTTACCACCTAATAATAACACTGATGAGTACACTTCTTACTCCATCACGTCCTCTACTGGTCTGCTGCCGGTCCTGGGTCGTTTCTTCCTGTGTGCTAAAGAGGAGATTCATCAAGCATGCGTCGTCTCTGTGGATTCGGTCACATTTGGGGTTTTCCTTTTCTCCTTMGGCTAGCTTGAGTTGGAGGCACAGCTGCCGTAGCAGCTTGAGGTGGAGGGACCAGGGGGCACCAGYGTTGTGTGGCTGCCGAGAGCTTTACGAGTGTTKGGCATTAGGAAAGGGTCGCTGGCCAGCTGCAGCACGTCCACGCGATCCTCCTTGTGGTAAGCCAGGCAACGTCGGATGAAGGCCTGGGAAGGAGACGAAAGAAAAAAATATCTAAACCCACTTTGGACATTTTAAGTGCAAAAAGTAGGGCTGAGCAATTTTGGAAAATAATCTAATTGCAATTTTTTAATCTATAAATTGCAATTGCGATTTAATATGCGATCATTTTTTTATGTCTTCTCAAGTAT